GGGGGAGAGAAGATGGATAGGAGAGAGGGAGGTGGTTAAGGGAATTGATGGTTTTCATTTATCTCTCACTAGAGAGCAAGGAGAGTAACGCTGAAGAAGGGATTCCTTTATTAAGAAAGAAAAGAAAAAAAAAAGAAAAGAAGAAATTTCCGCATCATTTCCCAGAGCTCCAGGAGAGCAAGTAGTAGTTAAGAAGGTGTTAAGGGAACGGGTTTCTCCATTTAAGCCTATAACGAGAGAATGTTATGCCGTCAGCTCTGTTTTTCCCGTGCCATTTTTCAGCAGGCTAGCGTTGTTGAGACTGAAGAAGAGCAGGGGAGTGTTTATTATTTTGTGTCATGATGCAATGGAATCAGGCGCTCGTCAATTTTGGGCATGTGGACTTACTGGTACCATCTTAAAGTTTGTTCGTTTGTCTATCTTTTGATTTTTTTTAAAGTTCATATTCTTGAATTGAAGTCGAGATTCTGATATTTGTATATTGAAGGAGGTTGGGGGCGCCTGGTTTCAGAGGTAGAATTAGCCAGAGAATGGCCGCCAAAGTGTGGTGAATTCCAGAGCTTGAGAGTCCTTGGAAACTGAAAATTTACGGGGGGGCTTTGTGCCTTCGTTTTTTTTTCTCAGTAAATGTGTTTTTAGATTGACATAAAAGATGCTGCGCCAAAAAAACAATACAATATTTGATAAAATAGTGCAAACCGGTGGAACAAATCTTTGATTGTCTACTCTTTTTGACGAGCGCCTGATTTCACCACGATGCCTCACATTTAAAAAGTAGAGAGATGAGCGTGGGAGCGGGAAAGAAAGTGAAAAGAAACCCCCCAAAAAATAACGATGCCTGTCTTGTGTGTACCACTTGATCAACTCTGCTGTTTGGCAAAGCATGCGTGCTCTGTGGACCTTCTTCTTTTCTCTTATACTCTTCCCCATGCCCATAATATCGATCTGTTCGGAACCCGTAAGAGAGAGAGAGAGCGAGAGAGAGAGAGAGAGAGAGAGAGAGAGAGAGAGAGAAAGAAAAGAGGGAGAGAGAGAGAGATGAGAGAGAGAGAGAGAGAGAAGAGATGGATGGGAGGGGGGAGAGGAGGGCAGATGGAGAGAGGGAAAGGGGTGGGTGGAGGGAGAGAAAG